CTGAAACAACTTTACCCACTGAAATCCAAACAGCATGAAAAGAAACAATTTCACAGGCCTACACAGCTTCCTTAAAGTCCGGCTTACGAACTTTAAAACAATGGCATGTACTATTGTTAACTAATGTACCAATCAAAACACTTTGGTAATCACAATAGAACTAACATCAAAGGCCTCAGAAGGTCACAACGCAAACTTGAACTTAGAAAAACAATGACAGAAAGGCAAATAGTTGGATTAGAAAAGATTTAATTTTAATATGAATTTAAATTCAGATATATACAATTTCTGCTACGTTCAGTTAGGTCTGCCACATCGCTCTACACACAGAAAGGGCTCCGGAAAAAATTTAGCGCCGTTAAGAAATAATGTATCATGACACATCAACTGCACTCAGTGAGATGCAAATTCTCTATAAAGTGAGTGTTTATAATGTAGGAAACTGATTATGTGGTAGAAGGGTTATGTATGAAAGAATAGGAAGACAAAAAAATACCAGAAAGTTAAAAAACTTATATTTTGTCAGTTACGGAAAAAAACATTTTTTTTTCTTTTAAATTAAGGTATATTATGATTCTACGTTCTTGTGGTGTACTGAATTATGCTGTTGTAACAAATTATAAGTAAATGTAAACTGACTATAGCAGTAAAAACTTAATGAAACTGGAAAAAAAACGAACAGTAGTCTTCGTTTTACAACCATAATTTTGTGTTATTCAATTTTTCGTGATAAAATAACCGGTATATACTACAAGAAAATAAATGTAGTCACTGTCTGATGAAATTTAGAGTAGGGCTGTCAAACTTCCTACTACTATGGGACAGCATTACGCCAAGTTCTTTCCCAGTTTCCTGATACAAATGTCTGCCCTGCAATGATTACATATACGAAACACAAACACATGAACAAAAATTTACCCGTGGATTGAAAACATTTGTCTACATGAAACAGAAATCGGAATTCATATTTCGAATGAATAGCAGTGCGCATGGATGCAGCTGTGATGAATGCATCCTCATAAATATTGCTGCTTATGGGGGCGTGTCTACAGCTTATTCCATTGCTTCAGTCTTCCGTGATCAGCGCTTAAAGTCAGCGTGGTTTTGTTACGTTTCCAGAATAAGAATGAATGCCCGAGACAATGGAACAAAGCACGCGTCTTAAGTTTTGATACGCTCGAAAACACTGCCATCGACATTTTCAAATCGATTAAATAGCTTGGAGATGCACCAATGAGCTGATTAGGACTCAAGCATTGATGTTCCCACAGCGGCGATGTCGATGTTCACCTGCCGGGTTGCAGTAGACTAGTGTAGACTAGTAGGTAAATACCAACGTTTCAGAGAAATATGGTTCCTCCGAACGCAGTGCTTCGGGACTGAAGCTTCAGTCCTGAAGATGGATGACTGTGTTTCTCCAAAACACTGGTATCAACCTACAAGCCCTCATGGTGTTACAACCCAGAATGTCAGCATCAACAGGCGAATTTCTGGGGTAGTTTCGTCGTTTTAAAATAAAATAAAATAAAAGAGTTCTGGACGCCCTTCAACAAGTAGGACCCTTGAAACTGTATATCAAACACAAGATATACTGCGAGTTGACACAAGATTTCTTGTGGCTAACGTAAGACTTCTAAACGAGGATTTAGGTTCAGCGGTGTCTCAAGTTAATTCAGATCAAGACTGCTGGCACAGAAGTAGAAATAAAACGTTGTGACTTCTGGGAACAACCAGGAATAAACGAAATATTGAAAGACGGCCTTATTACGCGTTCAGAATAAATATATTTAAGGATATTAGAATATGGAATGATAGTGTTTGCAAATAAACGTAACAAACATTGAACTTTCTTCTGGTCAAAGGCAAAATTTATGTCAATTATTTTGTACCGCGGCAGTCCAAACACAAGTCCAAGATATCCTTAGAATATGCCCAGCTTTGTTAATATTTCATACGCATTCCGAAACATAATAATGTACGAATAACAATATACAATCCCATTCATAGAATAAATTATAGACTTAATATTTTAAACAAATAATACTTCGAAATACTAAGCCAGGTATTTTTCTTAACTTAAATAACATATTCTATAACTCAAAATTATTCTCTTATGATACACATTACTTACCTCATACGAGAAGAAAAATGCCAACATCGGAGAGAGTATTTTATGTATTACACTTAAATCTACTGTAAAATGATGTAAATTACATCGCAATGCGCAATCTTGGTTTATGATGCCGTATTTCTTAAAGATGTTGTCCTGCAGTCGGCAAAGAGATAAATACACGAAATACTTGTACACAAAAGAAATAGTACTTCACTCGAAGTAACATGTCGATTCAACCTGACAGTAACACAAATAAGTTACAGGGACTTCAGTCTATTAGTGCGGGCCCCTGGGTGATGGTTTCATAATTACGTACAAACGTTTATTTACAATACAGCCTCCAATTTCCGAGTCATATCAAATGAAATGCGTTTATATTTATAAATAAGTATAGACTTATTAGTTTTTTAGGTATCTTTCCGACGGTAAAAACTCTCCAGACAAATAATATCACAGTGTTTTCAAAATACTTCGATAATTATTTGTTCTCTCGCTTTGTTGGGAATGCAAAAACCTATAATTTAAGCCTTGTTTATGACGTCAAGAACTCAATACTGCCAATTTTATATTGCTGTTAATAACACACGACTCGGATTCAATGAAAATTGTATACAGACCTAATTACTTACTTCCCACTTACCGGTAACCACGTATTATACACATACATACACACACAATGTTACTTCAACTTTTAAAGACATAAAAATGTTTGAAACTGTTCCAATATTCTAATGAGCATGCAAATCATCTCAGCCTCTCAAACTTCCTCTGCTAAGCACGTGTTCTTCGACATCGTCTTCTTAGTACCGTTCTATTATTGAAACTACAGTTATTTAATGAATACATACAATATGCAGTTCTTTCATTTAAAAGAAGAATAACAACTAATGCACAATATGCTACCTACTTTAAATAATTTTCTATGTGAGGTATTATTCCAGCGATCTAAACTACCTCCGCTAGATTCAGATTCTAGATCAGGCGAGCGGAGACCCAAGCTTCAAACGTACTTTGCCACAGCGGCTGGATTTATTTAAATAAGGGCAGTAAATTTAACAGAACCTTTTGGGGAAAAAGTACACAGCAAACAATGTAAAATTTATCTCACTTGTAGGCTGATTTTCGAAAGTCAGACTATCTTTACAGATAGTTACTCGCAATGTTAAACACATTTTCTAAATATTTAGAATAATATCCATGCTTAAGTAAACAGTTAATTAATTATGCCTCAACTGGATATGTTCCTTTCTCGGATATTATGTAAGCTCGTTAAAAGTCAACAAGACCACTCACATGATACAGGTAAATTTATTTTCTGTAAGTAATGGTTCACAATGGTATTGAAACTATTTTGTAATTAATATAATTACCGAAAACAATTAATAATCAAGGTACAAGTTCAGCGGTTTAATTGTTTTGCAAGGGAGACGACACCTGAGTAAATAAGCCAAACCACTTGGTCTGGTGTGGCATAGCGGTTGTGGATTCTCTCCTGTACCCAGTCTCATGAAGACCTGTCTTACGGAGACGATAATATCGAGCAGCTTGGTGACTGACATCATCCTGAATACGTAGGAGATGTAAAAATTTTCAACTCGGAGGCAACAACTAAGTCCGACTAAAGCCTCCGTTCAACCTCCACCTTAACAGTTAGACAGAAATAATTTTCATGTGATTCGTAGCGTGTACAGTCAATGGAATTTTGATTTGCAGCTACGTAAACAAACTAAATAAGCCAAACAAGAAATTTTCTTGACTGAAAATAAATATAGACATAACAATGTTGTTCTAGGTGTAAAGCCTTTTGAGTCACGTGCAGATGTGAACGTTTCGAAGACACACACTGTCTCCATCTTCACGACTGAGAACGGCATATTCTTCCGAAACGTCGACAGTCTACACGGTGTGGCAACACAGAATAACAACGTCATCATCCTCACCGCAGTGATAACCTCAAATTTTACAAATACACGTAAAATATCTTTGTTGTATAAAAAAGAGATTACAAGTGTAATTTTTACAATACCATACAATGTTCTGTACGTAAACTTATGTATAACTGCATGTATTAATCTTCAATAATTTCCTATATTGTGGATCTCACTGCGGCCCCATTAAAATACGCGTTACCTACTCTAGTACTGAATGTGGGCTTAGAATACTTTATGTTTTGCTGTTCGCCTTTCAGTAACCTACATTATAAATAACTTAATATCAATATGTTCTACTGCGTTACAACATACGATTCGTTGCGTTTTCATTTATAAGTAAGTGTTCCGCAATTAATTTTAACACGAGCTATCTAAATCCAATCCACACTGTCAGACGAACTTTCCTGGTGTCTATTTCTGCACTATACTTTTAAAAATACTTTTTGCATACCCTTAAGGCCCATTTGTTTATTTCCATTACTTTGGGAATCATCTAAAGGGATGGTCAATTATCACGAACTACTCGAAACAGAGATTCATAGAGAGTGAAATAAAATATAATTTTCGTCGTAATCTGAAAATTCAGACTCAACAGCACTTCGAAGGAGACCTAGGCCCTATTTCAATTTCAGATCAACACGTTCTTCCTTCAACCATCCTACAACTCCTGTTTTGGTCGGATAAACTTAACAGCAAATTCTAACACCAAGCTTACAAGAAAGAGTGAGCCTGATTTTAAAATACTTGACATCTCCCTTAAAACTTCGTTTAAAGCTTCCTTTACATACTTGTGTTTGGTCAACACCAACTAATTCTAGGTACTTTGTGAAACAGAGTTCTTCAGGATTGGCCTAACCATATGGAACAGTTTCTTTGATTTTGTTCATGCAAAAATTAAGTCGTACTTACCTGAGAGTGTACCAAGATCAATTTTAAAGAACATTGTTGTCACTTACTGTAAAACCGATACCCACGGTGGCTGAAAAGGTTCCTGTCTGAAACTTCCCTGTGTCAAACTGTACCAATAAAGACGTTTTCCCTACTCCGCTGTCCCCCAACAAGATCGTCTGCAACATAAGATTATTCCACACGTTCATAAGATTATTTTAAAACTGTAAGCACGTAAAATCACTTCGTCGTGATTAGGTCATATAATGCGATTTTTCCATTAATCGAGATTAAGAGATTGGATGTTTGGTTGCTCATTGCATTGCTTCAACTGTGTCGTTTAATCGTCTGATTTATTAGTATATGTGCCATGTTCGTGTGTAATCGGTGGCAATATATAACTTACTTCCTAAAGTTTACACGACGTTGTTTAGGTCAACAATTTCTATTGTCCCTTAATTTAGTAACACTTTTCAGTGGCATATTTTAATAGAAGGCGTATGTTTGGCAAATCGTACAGAATTGAAAATGGCCTTAATATATTACAAGATCCATCGCGATACATTTAAGCCCCGATTTATATGGCGATTAAGCTCTCGCAGAAACCAACGTAAAACGAAGGTTAGTCGAAGCCGTTTCTCAATAGAGAAACTGTTACTAATGGGGGTTACGTTCCTAAGTGATTGATTTTTAATGTTAATTAACTTAGTAATAACATAGAAATGTTATTGCACACCTGATAATAGGATTAAATAATGATTATAGATTGAGAATTAGGCAGGAGTTTCGTCGGATACTTGGTAAACAGTTAAGTTGTCTATTTTTGACAGACTTCAAATAAAACTATTGATGTTTAAGTGCCCATTAAGCCTTTGTAGCTGAAATTCGTCTAAATATACTTAAGAATTCAGTCTCTACCACGACGTAAACCCCATACTTCACTATTACAAAGATCAACTTTTAATTCTGTTTAAGGAAATAACAGTTTGCACTGAGAATCATACAACACTCACATCACAAAACGCACAGTTAATTGTTTTTCATAGCCGATTAAACTTATAGTTCAGCTTTGAATGGTTAAAGAGTCGAATACAAACATACGCAATCAAAAGAGAGATGTTAAAAATAAACTTCGAATAGGATATGATCTTTTGAATAACAATAGAATAACAATAATAGGATGAGTCCTACTTGTAGAGGTGATCTGGATTTCGGTAAGGTGTTCTGTTTCAAAAAATGGCAGGGAATACGTTTTAAAACGATACGTACGAAAAATTAAAAAACAGTGGTACAAGTTATAAATTTCAATGCTCATGAATAGGCCAATTACGAAATTCTTCGAACGTCACCGAGTTCTATGAAATGCCGTACAATTTCAGACCTCCCTACAGATTTTTCGTACAGATACACCAGAACCGTACACTTCATTTGAGTTACAGTTTTTAACTTGAACCCATTAATGATTTAAGATTACACCCTTTGACAAACGAAGTTCATCTACATAATAATTATAAGTAACAGGCTACAAGGCTAAGTTCTCGCCTCCAAGAAATAATTTCCGCTGCAAAGATCAATCTGTTAATGATGGTTAGAAATATAATCACATTCTATTCTTAGAATGAAACTACACCCTATCGGCAAGATGACGAAGTAAGAAAGAACAGCAAAGCAGGTGGTACAAATAGTTACCAGTACGTTATATAAGTTTATAATTTAGCTGTACAGTATTCAACAAATTAATTGTGCACTTATTCTTTTTTATTTTTAAAATCAATATAAAATGTTGCCAATCGTAAAGCAAGAAATGCGTGCATTAAAACATTGATTAATTTAATTAAATTTCAAATCAGGAAGTAGTATTCGTCAATTAAAATATTGCTTCTAAATTCGATAAAATGAAGATATGTAGACCCTATACATATATTCTTCAACAATTTAATGTGCCTTGAACTCAAAGAGTTTAAGGAGGAAGCCCTACATACTGTTAGAATAATACAGACCCTTGGATTAATAGTATTCATTTTTGGACTGCCTGTGTTAGAAGAACTCGTCATATAGCTACATAACACAACATTATTAGACAAAGGATTTCGCTGTGAATCATTATTACTTCCATAATGAATAACCGGAAATCTTGCACATGTAAATTAACAGCGTAACAATTTATAGACAGTTTCTTGCCTGTATCAAATAACAATGACCACTAACCATGTAATCTCTTAATATTTTGAGTGAATGGAAAATACTAGATCAATTAGTTTCGCGATACTAAAATTCAAAATGGAATCTGCTAATAATACTGAGGTGAATACAGATAATGATCCCATTATTTGGCATGGCTAATTAACTGGTTGGAGATCTATTTAGCAAAGCGGGATCGATGTTTAATAGCGTCGAGCATCAAAGAAAGTGCTTATCATGTCACTTGTGTATTAAAATAGTAATAGTGTTTTATTTATTCCAGATATATAACATCACGTAGTGGAAACAATGGAATTGAACGGTGCCAAACGCGGCTGACAAAAGTCAATGCACAAGAAACGAAAACAGTTTCTTTGAAAGATGATTACATTCTTCTCAGCCGTGAAGTTGAATCCTAACTGGGATCTCCATACTTTGTACTACAGTGGAAATAAACTAGTTTACTTAAAACTCTATTTATAGATAGACCTATATGTACATAAATTATTTATATATTTAGACCCCTTATGTCATAAATAGACAATATTTAATCTATAAACAATAACGATATTTCGCATAAAAAGTGAACATAATTTTAGTTAAATCTTCAACTTGTATTACATTAGTTCCTAAAGATGAAAAAAGTCTCATCTAGTCTCTCATCAAAATTTACAATTTAATTACTGCAGTGCATTTACCGACTCCAAAATTCTGGGATGATGTTCACAGAACTTCTGTGCCCTACAGTTTCGTAGCTCAAGAACACCGAAAGGCCCCAGTATGATATATCTCGACGGCGGAGAGAAAAATTTATGCGTGGACTCGATCTAGCTTCCTACACAGTCCGACCTCCATAGAGTAACAGGGCAGTAATCAATTTTCCACATGGTTTGGGAGAATACATCATAACATACACAGTCTCATAAATATTAAGTGACGCTTGTAACCATCGATTCGTTGTTGAAACCACACAGTTATTAAAACAATCTAATTATACTAGTCAGATCGCATTTAAATCAACGAAAATTAGAATTCCATGTAGTGTTCAGGACCCCCCCCCCCAACTCGATAGCCCCCACAGTCAGTTCTGCCATCAAGTTAATAACAATTTTGAGACGCGGTCTGTAGAAGGAACGTAATTTCAACACTGCTGATTACGAGTGTGCGTTGACAACTCACATACCGCAGGAAAATCATTAGATCACAGGAGCTTGATATTCTGAACAAAGTTAATCTACACGTGTTTCAATAGTTATTTGGCCTGTGAGCATTTCCAGCTTCAACCGCAAGTCTGTTCCTCGCTGCCAGCAATTCACTTTCAATGATCGAAATAGTGAGTTGCGGTTCGTCGGTTAAACTTTGTACAAACACCGGAGTAATCGCTTTACCAATATTATTCTGCTCGGACACATTTCAAAATGTTGCGGTATCCCTTGGAGCAACCTCTTTCATCCTTGGTTTCTGAATTCATGTAAATTAGATAATTAAAGTATCAGTATCTCGGCAACGTTAAGTTATTGCTGGAGTGTTGCGTCTGCACGAGATGACAAATGAGTTCATCCTCAGGCTACACAGATGGCACATTTAACATCGCACAGCGTTACTAAAACTTCTTTCAAACCGCTTAAATTTTTGGAAGGCAAAGAGTGTCACATAACACGAAAGTCTCTTGCAATATAACACTGTCCTTTATTAATACAGTTATAATGAAATCATGCCATAACCGTGAAACTATTTTCTACAACAGTTTTAATGTCGTTATAACTTACCAGTAACACGCTAAGAAAACTGGAATGCTGGCAAAGACATTAATTTAATTTCTGTTGCTTACGGAATCAAATTCGAGAATGAACAAAAACGCATATAAGGGCCAAACAAATTAATGTTTTGTTCGCAACAGTGCTACGTGAAATATTTTCTGCAATCGATAAATTACCAAACCGCTAAAAGAAATGTTCTGGTTCGGGTTTGTTAAATACCGATGATATATATATTCCGATCACTGGTTTTAAAGCACCGCTTTTACCTTTAGGGTTAAAATGACGGTAATGGTACAGAATGTTCAAAAAATCTTTGCGCAGCATATACGTAGACGTAAGTCTACAACACGCAGAGATTGGTAACATGATTACTTTTTGTCTGGATTGGCAGAATGGATTACTGACAGTTGTTTACTGCTGACATAATGCTAAATACAAAATGATGTTGTGCCTAAAGAAAATAACGTAAATATGTAACTAAGTTTTATATAGTATTAAAAATATATTAAAATTGACCGTCAATCACAATATAAGATAATTAAAAGATTAAAATATCATTTTTCGTTCCGTATCGAGTACTCGATTTACATATGGAACATTTACGACATGTTTCGGCTATCATAGAGCCGTCATCAGGTGTTATGTTATAAACTTTTTAACTGAATTACTGATTTTTAATGCTTTTTAGTTTTCATTTTTCTTATCATTTTCTCGTCCTTCATATTGTATCTTCATCCGTTGTTGTGTCACATGTCATAAGTTTTATAGTTTCCTACTACACAGAAACATTTTCTAACATCTTATCTGTTAGTAATTTGGTTTGATTTAATGTTGGCGGCAGTTACCGCCACTTTTACACAGAACACACCGCGTTGAACAGCAAACCATGTAGTGTGTCGTCTTTTCGTTTTCCTGTGGTTCCACATACACAGTAGCATGGTACAACAAAGTTTTATAAACAGGATTTCAACAGAAAACGTCTATTTTACGGTACCATCACATTGGTCATATGTTAATACTTTGTTTCATGTATTTTAGACTGCAGATGTTATACTTCGCATGCGATGGAAACATGATCATGAATGAAAAGAGTAAGATTATTTAAATAAGACTGGCCTTTCGAATACAAGTAAAAGATCGCCAACGTTAGGCCTTCATCAACAACTTTTCTGTACTGTACTGTGTAATACGTAATTAAAATTTTATTAAAAGTTACTGACACGCTGTAATTATAACAATTCACCTTCAACAGAAGGCCTGCACAGAGGTTTGGTCCACATTAGTGCATAATATCGGGACTGAATAAAATAACATATACTATTTTGTCTGTACGTTTAGTTTCATTAACCGTAGTTTTTGTGATTTTATTTTCCACTTCTTTGATTTGTACAGCCTTCTGGAGTGGCTTCCCTGCTTACGATCTAATTACGAAGAAAGGTTTCCACAAAGGACAAATTGATCAGAGCCGGACAGCCTGCACTACGACATCCCTAAAGGACAGAGTAATGCTCTAGCAAAGCCAGGGTGTTACATTGTTTCAAAACCTTGTCTTCGGAAGCGTCACTTAGAATAATGTGTTTCATTACACAAAGTGAACCACAGTATCTGACGCACTTTTCGTTAAAAAGCGAATTCCTCGCGTTACAGACAAGGCTATTTTGTTACGGAACCATCACAGAGCTTCGTAATACAGGCCTACATAATATTCATTTTCATAGATGTCAAAATATGTAACAAATTTAATACTCATTGGTCTGGAAACGTCTTTATTTTGATTTACAACTTTTACAATTGGTACGTATTGCAAATTTATTGGGTCTTACAGATCGTGCATAAGCTTAACGTAAACGCGTCCACCCTCCACGTAACCGTTAATCGTACACAATTAATCTAGGGAACGTATTTTTCGTTCCAGTTGCTACGGAACAATCAACTATACGAAGAAAAGTGATTCCGACATAATCATCATCGCTGTTAGTTAATATGAACCTGGAAACTGAATTACTCTTAAGTACCACAAGTAATTACTATTATGGATCATAATTCCGCTCGCGAGTCGTGTACCATTACAACGCTTTCGTTCTGTAAAACACGCCTTTAACTTTTTAAGAACACGTCTATGAACTATAAAGAAACCGTAATTTATTTGATAAGAAAATAAGCAAATAAATACAAATATACCAACTCACAACTTATTTTCAAAATATTTACTGGGTTTCTGGCAGTTAGGGAAACTTTTCAGCATATAACTTCTTTGTCTCAACTAAATATCCACGTGCTTCACCATTAACAAGACGCATGTATGCAAATTGATAGTTTGTGTCGTTAATTTTGCAGTATGTTATCTGGGCAACTCTCCTTCACTTTCGTATTCAAACGAGGTACAAATCACCTCAGATCATACGCTTTTCTTTCGTTCCTCGTATTTGAGTAACCCCCGTCCGACATCAAAAAGGCCACTGCTGAGCAGAATTATACCAACACAATCTGACCGAAATACTCCCCAGTACGAAATTTAATCGAAATCCATTCAGTAGTTCCCCAGTTGAAACACGCGGCCTGATGACCAGACGTCTCCGCCATACGTTTGTTCAAGTATTTATTGCAAAGATCGCATAAAAACTGGTCTAAAAGCGAGTTACTTTGACGCACCTTGTGTACCATTTGTTCAGCTTCCTCCTGCCGTTGTTCATAGAGTTTCATCATCTCAGCAGGAGGCCTGTAGTCTCGGTAACCTGTAGGAGACGGCGTCTTTAATTGATGTGTGTGCTGTCCAGGAACTGGCATTGTGTTCATTTGTTTACCACAATATTCTCCCCCTCCACTCTCCGCTGCAGCCGCGTCTTCTGGCGACTCGAATACGTCATCACTCATACTGTCATCTGTCGTCATCACCTGAAAATTATTAAACACGGTAATTTAATTAAAGGCTTGGGTCAAAATAACCTTAAAAGCCAAAACGTAATAAATAAGTATGGGCTATTTCTAACACTAAATATTTGGGAATCAAAATTAAAACTGTGTTTAACAGACTGAAATATATAAATGGATCCCTTCTCGTCACGCCATCTGGATGGCTACTTGTGAAGGAAATTGTCTTCGGGTGTGCAAGGTTTCTGCGAATAACTTACAATGAATAAAAAGTCTCTGACAGCCGACAACAAACAGTCTTCTAGCCCAAATCTTTGGCGATAGAATTTTTTATGTCGAAGTTTTGGCATCTCTAAAAATAGGGAATATTTTTAAACAGGAAAGGAACTACAAATTTTCAATGAAACCCCTTTACCATGGAGTTAAGTCAGTCAGTCAGTTAATAGTAAGGGAACAACCAGAGGCTGAAAGTCGATGTTAACGTTAATCGTGTTAGCCCGGCCAACACCGAAAGAAATTCTTTCCTACTCTCGTGGCTTAGTGGCAATCCATACACTGGAACACAGCAGAACCGATCAGATAAAATACGTCGGTAGCCATCTCCGGCCAGCCAGACGTTTTTAGCCAACTGTTTGTGCTGTGTCCCAGTGTATAGAGTACCACTGGACCATGAGAGTAAGACAAAAGACGTTCTGAAGATGTCTGTCTTCTGGGTTGTTGCGCTGATCGCCCTGATGACGGAGGCAGTATGACCTCTGAAACGTTGGTAAACATCTACCATATTACACGGCGCAACAAACCAGAAGACAGAAATCTTCATACTCACCGCTGTGAAAACCTCAAATCTTACAAAAGACGTTTTGTTTTCCGTTCCTCGAAGACTTGGCCGAAATAAACAACGGGCGAAATAAGAATATCTGTTTCTTCAAATCCTACTCATTGAATTAAGAAATTAGTTTATAGTAACTCGTTACAAATAATTTCGTGGGCCTAGTTACAAGTGGTCGGCTTTAGATTCACACGACTGGCCGACTCCACGCAACAGTAGGTTTATCATAGAGGAAAGAGCCCCAGGTCCAAAAGGGTAATTTCCGCCTGTGATCTTTATTAATGTTAGTAGTAGTAGTAGTAGTAGTAGCAGCATCTTGGTCATCATCATCATCATCATCACACTATCTGAATTTGTAATCTTGAACGTCTATCTATTAAACAAGACAAACGTTAGGAACGCAGATGTTTTTCTACCGTTTTGGGTAGAATCACTTTAATAATATCTACTTTATTATTCTTAGCATGTATGAACTTTCAAAACCACATGAAATGCGAGGAAAACAATTGATTCATACTCACGCTTAGTGACGAAGATGTGGGCGCTGCTACTAACATCGAGAAAGCGAAACAGTAACCGGTGTTAGGTCAGTAGGCCGTATTAAACAACCGGTCGTTTTGTGCGCTCTGGTCAACAGTCAAGAAGAATGCTGCCTCATGGTGTGAGGCTCTTACTGTGGTGCTATGACTGACAGCGCTCGTTACAGTTTGAGGTCCTTCTGCGTCACCTGCAACGACACACAAGGACAGGTGATTACAAATAACCTAGCCCCAATTCCACTCACGACCCTGATGATAAGTTTACATAGCATAAGGTTACACCCTAAAGTCACGGATTCGTATTCAACATAAAATCAATAACAGATAACGTAAGATACGTTACGGTTTAAAACCTCAAATGTAATACACTGCGCGGTTTAGTGCGGGGTTAACACTTATGACTCGCATTCAGAAGGTACCCTGATCGAATTCCAGCCGGAGATGGCTATCCTAAGTTCTTTCACAGTTTTCTTCTCGGCCGCCTCCTCTCACATCCCCATAATTCATTATTCATCATCATTCTGCCTTATCGACGCCACACAACGCAGCTGATGACACAATGTCGTAACAAACTCTAACAATTACTAATCATGAAATAGGCTAGTATAAGGATCGAACAGAAGGCTTAAATTGACTGCAGGTATTCTTACACTCACATAAACAGCTTTAAAATTTTCAAATACACGTAACGCGAATATTACGTAAATTAAGATTATGGTCTTCTGAGTTGTCTGACCGTGTAACACTAAAGCTGTGTGTCTACTTTTCTATGGAATATGTCTCCATTTTCAGCCCTAAAAATGGAGGCACTGTAGAGCATAAATTCTGCTCAGAAGATCACTATCTAAATGATATTCACATCTCCGAGAAAATCCTACATGACGTAAATTAAACGTCTCACTATGTTCTGTATCTCGCATTCTCAAGAACTTGTCGATTTCACGCACATGTAACGTAATAGATAAAAATTGATTTATACCCTCATGTAGATACACGAGGATGAACCAAATCCGCCCTACAATTTTAAATTTAGCCAAGTCACATCAAATTTAATCTATACCACTCCAAGGTAAACTGACAGACAAACTCTCTGGAAAAAAATCAGAAATGAAAAGTGTTTACAAATAGAATTATTAACAAGTAATTAAACGGTATGTTATCTCTACATCAGGGGAAAGTAATAAAGAGTAAAAGGGCATAGTAGTTACCATTTTCGACGAGGGAAGTGTCCCCAGTAACCAACGGATACAATTTTCTTAGGACACTATTTGTCATTATAATTTACAATTCGATAAGTAATTATTTCAATTCATATATTTTTGAAGACATGGACTTGAAGTTATTTATTTCCGACCTACTTAGGTTTGCTTTAGGCGTTTATAGGCCTACTTTGCATATACATGGTGTCCATAAAATGTGCATATACATAAGGTTAATATTCCGTATTATAATGCGTATACATATTTTGGGATATTCTGTTTGTGATACATTTTACGTTGAATCGTAATAGGTCCTATACAAATGAAAGTCAACAACTTGTCATAGGCCTGCTTACTTACTGGTTTCAATAACACAGACAAATATCATACAAAATGTCGTGTAATTAAATATAGTTAGGCCGATAAAATATTACCAGATAGAGATGGACACTTATATACACATTGCACGTCAGGAACTAGAAATAACGTTCATTATTGAGGCCGTCCATGTGTTCAGATTCAATAGGTCTAATGACTGTGATTTTTAAATTGATTCAAGAAATTTCTCATTCCATTTACATAGGAAAATATGAGCTTCTCGATATTCACCTGTCACATACTTTTTTTAAGGATGGGTACATGATTTTTTGTCCTGCGACGAATGAGGTACATGTAGACCTACAAAAAATCTAAATTACATTTACATAAAACATATCCAAGCCAAATAATAAAGTACAACATAGAGTTAATACCGAAGTCGATAAGTAATTTTAACTGAAATTCATTTACATTTTGAAATCGTTATAGACTCAGTCCCTCTGAAAAGAAGCTCTGAGAAAAGCAATTAGACATGTCTGCTTGTTTACATGCTTGAAGGCAATCTTTTAACTTGTAAAGTTAATACTAAGAGAATTTGCATCACACGTGCCAATATCGTAGCAGCAAGAACTTACTACCAGCTTTCTGTATCCTAAAAGTCAATAAAGAAATCGGTAGAATTTAGCCTGGGTTGCTTGTTCATGTTACTGAGAGGCATACAAAGAAAGCATAGGCCCTGAAAATCTAATTTCTGCCATATTTTGTGCATACCTATTCCTTTTCTTTGTAGTTCAAGCCTCGCTTTCAATTGCGTGTTAGAATGTGAGTAATCAACAATTCACATACACACTCGGTAAATATGGACTATTCAACATGTATAGCTGCATTAAGTGTTATTTTTCTTCATGAGAACATTAAATTTAAACCATCAGTTGTTAATCTGCAATTATTTTAGTCCTTGAATTATATAGAGTTATTTCCTCGCATCCAAATATAACTTCATAAAGTAGGCCAAAGTGAAGCACAGTGGTTCCATTGTTTTTTTTCATTAATAACTAAAATCTGTAAGTGCATTCCACTTCTCTTTGTCACTCTTATGAACACTTTAATCACTCTTTTGACATTCACTGAACTGAAGTCTCGACTTTGAAACTCCCGTGCGAATGAACACAGCTGAGACAAACAACGCTGTAAGTTTCATGAATACTTTATACTTTTAAATCCAGGGTGTTATTATTTTAGGTCATGATATAACTGAACACAAAAATATTAGATTTAAATTCTGATAAAAATATATGTATACGCTTTCGACTAGGACTTCAGCATGAGTTAACCAGTTCTTGTGAAACTTCTATTCCAATGTTATTTTTATTCGGATGAGAGGGCGTGCGTACGAAATTTATTTCTTGAATAACTATTGAATACTGCTCAGAAGTGGAATTTTAAGAATTTCTCGTTTTCTTTCAATCACTGCCCATGAATGATGAATGCTAAGATCCGTTACCAAGCACAGACCCATATGTTATTCTTCGTCTGTTAATAATTACTGAATAAAAGTATCCATCATATCCATAACGGAAAACGCACAAACTTTGCACAATTAATTTGGTGCTCTTTATTTTGATGTAATTTAAAGAATCCTGATTCAGAGTCTTTTGAAAATGACTGAAATAAATATGCACTGAGTGTTTATATGGTTTTTGATCCAGAAAATTATAATTTCAATGAGTTTTAAATTCAGAATTGTTGGCAATAAATAAAATAGCAATAAATGAAATATGATAATGGTGCATGGTAACACGTAAATAAACTAGCTATGAAAATGTTGACAAAAGTTACTCCTAAGTATGTTTGGGTCTATTGCCGGAAATGTAGCACAGAAACTGTACTCGAAACAAACATTACGAAGACAAACATTTATTTCAATAACCATTAAAGATTGTAACCGCTCATCAATCCCTGTACTGGTGTATGCTAATTCTGTACTTGTAAGAAACCCAACTTTTATGTGCTAGATCATAAGGTTTTGTATTAGCCACTTATTGTCCTGCTTTTCTTTTGTTAGCTCATGATTCCTTTGTTTTTCATTTATGTTCAGGAATAATGTAAGCTTGGGATCGGAAATGGACAGCCGATACTAAGTGTTGCAGCGGTACCTGAAGTACGTGGGAAAGCAGGGGTTTTAGGATTTTCTAGACTTGGAAATTCCTTGGTACATAAATTACCAGTTCTTAGCCCAAGTGGCTCGTTAGCGATGCCCTTTAGAATTAAGAGTGTGGGAGAAACTCCCTGAAGATTGGTGGGAAAGGGAAGGTCCTTCGAACTGAACTTGGACCCACATCAATAGGAGTTGATGTTAATTGGAAATTCCTTGGTACATAAATTACCAGTTCTTAGCCCAAGTGGCTCGTTAGCGATGCCCTTTAGAATTAAGAGTGTGGGAGAAACTCCCTGAAGATTGGTGGGAAAGGGAAGGTCCTTCGAACTGAACTTGGACCCACATCAATAGGAGTTGATGTTAAATTTCCTTTTGGGCAAAGTGGGAAATTTTGATTGTCCAAACGTAAGGGTACTTACATTATAAAACATGGGTTCTTTTGGCCGCAAAGGGCATTATATTACATTACATTAAAAGTTAGAGTATTAAGAAAGGAGGTGATTGAGAAGTCAGTGTGTGTGAAGGGAGACCGAGTTGGGAGCTGCGGAAAGTTGTACGGATATGCATTTGAGAGCAGTGTGAAATCTAACAAAGTGTAAAACAACAAGAATTTGACTGCGTGACGTGGGATCAGCATATGTAGATCAACGATCACGCACGTCCTAAATAAAAAGTGCGTTCCATCCAATCAATCCGAGTGTTCAGTCTGGCTGTTACGAGCTGGCCGTGACACCGAATGAGAGTGAGTCGATCCATGCCACCAGCTGAGCTAGGCAAAGAACCCTGAGAGATCCCGACGACCCCCAACAATCCCTACCAGCCACATCGTAGTGGAAGCTGCGATGTGCCAAGAAGGAGGATGAACGGTTACAAGATAAAAACTCATTTTATAACGTAGACTATTCCAGTTAAAGTCCTCTTGAGATATATAAATGCATAATTAAAAGCGATGTAATTTTTAATATACAATCACTTTTACTCAACATCTCAGACAGACACATTCACACACACAGGTACGTAAACTGTACGCACCACATGGAAACTAATTCAGTATTAAGCACAGCTGGCACCATTAACTACCACACATACAAAATAGGTTATCTGTATGAGTTACGTATCTGGAAGCAAACAAGTTTTGAATTGTGATCTGGATAGGACACGCACACGGATGGTGTATAAAGTTACGAAGCAGTGAAACTAACGTCGATCAAGTACATGCCGACCTACGCAAAACTGATTTCGCTGTTGTAGTTTTCTTCGAGATCATAATGCCAAAGCCAAAATTATCAATATCATTATATAAATATGTAATGCCGAGCAAGACATACTGTCTCTCCTAATTAAAAGGTCGAGAAATAAGGATTATCTCATTGCAACCTAAAATACAGTAACAATTATAAGTTTTCAGATGTTTGCTATGCTTCAATTAAAATATTTATATTTCGAGGAATACTATCCTACCCTCTATAAATTAATAATTTACAATATAGAATATTCAAGGCGTAGAATTCCTTGCAGGTCGAAGGACTGAGGAGCTGTTTATGTTAACTACATATACATCACGCCATCACTTGAAATAAAAGCATGTGTGGACAGATAAAAGGGCATTTACAGTCTCCACGGATAACATATAACCCTTTTGACCAGCTAATCACATCCAGGAACTGATTTTTTACCATCTATTCAATAAATGATACGTAAACTGATAGCAAATGCTTACAGATATAATGCGATCTTAACTAAAATCTTTAAAGTAACAACATGGTGTATTGATTAACACGTCACAACTGCATATGGAATTGCATTATGGTAGGTAGCATAATTACCAAGAGCTCTCAGCATAAATTAACTAGAATTAAGAAACATTTACTTACTAATGATAAGTATAAAAAAAAGATATGCTCGTGTTTACAAAACAAAACCAAAATTAGTACTTCATATATCCAAGTTTACACTTATTCAAGCTTTTTCTCTAAAACACTAAACAATGACGATGGTCTACACATTTATTTCTGAGAAACCAATTGACAACTGCTTCAATATCTGTGACGTATCAAACTATTTTGGTGCACATATGTGCAAGTAAAGCATGTACATGTTAATACACCTACCATTACTGCGTAATTATATGCAAGCTTTCTATTTACACGCATTATAATACACGGTATGGCAATTACATTAACCTTAACTTTATTCAACTGTTGCGTAAATAAAAGACTAGAATTGCACACTCCGTGTATATTATTCAAGTAAACACTCTTATAAATCTTGACAGCAACTTCATATCACGCACTGAGTTAATATTGTTCTACATTACAGCGTACAGTAATCTAATTCATTTGGAATAAAAATTAGAACGTTAAATACCTGTAGTTTGAAAACATCTGACGGCAGACAAGCGGGATCTCGTCGTCTGCGAGACATTTCGAGACCAACGCCCCGAGAAGGCAGGCGACCGACGTAAGAGATACGTATATAGAGAGTAATGAAATAGGATCAATGGTTAGTTCTCACGCTCCACCCACTCACACCCCTCTACTCCGTGCCGCCAGTGGACTTACCCTGCACGAGAATCAATGAACCTGCCTATTCCGAAATGCGGTCACAGCCTCGATTTATCGATCACATTTGACCTACAAATGTATAAACCCTTTAAAGTACTTTCACCATTTGATATTGATATATTCTAAGATTATCCGAATTATTCCAACAGTATGAGAAAATATCTGGAGGGGGAATATTTATTTTAACGTTCTCGTTTACTAGTACGTTCATTCGTACTGAAAATCAAACAAAAGAACAGCGACATAAAAAATTTCTGACTCAAAATTACTCGGGCAGCCGGTTTAAAAGATCAAAGGAGGTGATAAATACAACGACCAAGGAAGATGGCGAAAGGAATTGCATTAGCGCCCAGCGCTGAAAACAAGGGCGGATTTAAAGGAGACCGACCTGGGCAGTCGCCCCAGGGCCTCCATAAAATTAAAGTTTTTTTACAGCGAAAAACGTCTACGTAACCAACTCCGGAAACAGATCACGTGATACTTAGTTATACTTGATTTTTGTTTATTTGGAAGTAATTTAAATATAACCTAAGTTTGTTGTTCCTGATAGGGGCCTCCATATTTTGATTGGTCAGAATGTTACCGGAAAGACCACACTGCCGTTGCTCCTCGACTTCGATGTAGGGGTGAACATGATCGAAAGTTCAAGTTACCACACGACGTAATATGAAATATGAACAAAGTAAACGATGAACGTTCAGCTACAGTGCCCCGGTACAGACGATACGTTCAGTACAAAGCCCATGAGCCTACAACTAACACTAGTGTTTTAAAGTATAGGATTATGTGTTGTGTGGCATCAAAGAGACATCCTGCTAGACAATCAATCTGTGTGTCTTCTCTACTCTCTCCACAAACCGTAATCTCCCTATGAGTCCAGTTCACACGGCGTCATAACCCATAGGAACAACAAAGACATCTTTACCATCATGAGAACATCAAATCTCACATAATTTATCAAACTATAGACTCTTTATGCGAGTAAATTATTTTCTTTCTAAAAAAAATACATCGGATTATATCTCAAAATTGTCAATCAAACGAAACGTTTCCTCAGGGCGCATACGCACACATATGTTAAAACAGATCATACAGTATTTATCATAAGCGTATTTCAGTTAGCAAAGTGAAAGTAAAGGGATTGGCCTGATATGTCAGGATATCAGTTAATGCATACAAAGAAATCAGTACACTATAATATTAATTTGTATTATTATTTGTGAGAGATGGAGTAGAGAACAGAAAAAGCGAATTGCATTTCAGTCGTAATTCAGGTTAGAAGTTGGCCAGTGGTTACAAGTTTTGATTGAAGTCTCAGTACATCTACAAACTATATGCTGTTTATAAGACAATAAAACCTAGCAGGTGGGTGTGGCGGTGACCCTCTACACTTGTACTGAAGAGAAGTTTGACGAAAACTCCGTTGCGTGTTTTTCTATAACCACTGACGATTATAAACAAGAGAAGAATCTGATTCTCAGTTCTACTTAAAACCTGCAAGCACGCAACACAACAACATGCAACGAAGCGACAGCCATTATACAATCCGCCATATGCATGTTTAGTTACGTAGTTTTCGAGAATCGATATAACTTGCCAACAAGAATTCATGATCATTGTGCCATCTACCAGCGAATTCTATAACGAGCATTATCCATTTCTGGCAAGAGATGGCGCTGCAAGATAAAGATAGTTTTCGTCTCTTTCTAAACCGCTTAGTAAAGAACTGTTTAAATAAAATGTATTATATTAGTATATTTGTTTGTATGTTAATAATTTATGCATAACCTTTCTTCAAATTTCTCAAATAAGCAATTGATTAATTTTAAATTGTCTTGTAAATTGTTTATTTTCCACAGTCGTGTTGCTACGACGAAAAGTATCAACTTCATACTCTAGTTGTTAAAATTCGTGCCTTAAACTAATGAGTAAGGAAAATATAGAGCCTTGGTGACGCTTGGTTCCAGCTAGGCGATCTCTAGCACTATATATTTTTGAAAGGGTACAGGTCGTCCTCTGAGTGGTTTGTCTACTTTTGCAAACTATTCGAGTGACAGCGATCTTCCCTATATAAACGAAACACAGGAAGTCGTACTACATTTACATTGCGATAATTATAATGCCGCTATGTTTACAAATTGTTGAGTTGTAAACTACTGCCTTTTACTGTAATTCTTGTTCACAATGTATGGATCAATTGTTCGACAACAGCCTATTTATAATTCTTCAGCTGGAGATTATGCTGATAACGATGGGTTAAAAGTTCCGCAAATTATGTGGCTACTCTGTGGAACGTAACTTGAGCTGGAAAGCTTTGCTTGAAATAATGTGATACCACATGTATGGACCGTGGTCGGAAAATTTCACCGCAGGCATGAATCCACTCGATAACGAAAAACCTGATTTTAATTAAACTTTATTTCACAATATTTTAAAAGACATTGACGGAGTATATTAATTTTAATTTAGATCGCCAGTCGAGAGACAGTTGGTGGGTTTTTCATTACAGCTGTATACTTATTAAAGGTTCGTGGTCTTTTCTTATGTAATATCATACTTACCAGAAAAAATTATGTGCCTAGTTACACTACTACACAAATTGCGCGGTCTCCGTGTTTTCCGCTTTAGGCTTTAATTACCTTAAGATTTTCACAATTTGCCAACAAATTTTGTCGTACGTAATTTCAGATTCCACTTCTTTGTATTGTTAAAGGTTTTGACTAAGAAATGTGTGGAGTGATAATGACCTCAAACAGTAGAACTTACTTATCTTGTATCCGAATTATTTTATAAATATGTTTACTTTAAGCGTTATTCGACTCAACGTACACGGATATCAGACTTCGTTCTAAAATACTATTTAACATTTCTGAAACCGGCCTAATTGTTATGGTCTAGTCCAATTGAAATGGTAAATATGAGAGCCCATTAAAATTTCCCTAGTATAACTATTTCTTAATAAACGAGCTATAATTAGACCTATAACCTTACAATGAAGCCCAGCACTGTATCGAATAAGGCGTTGGATATTAAAGGACAACTTTACTTACGTCGAAACAACATACTCGCGAATAAATTAACACGAATTTTCTGTTAATTGTCGGACATCGACGTGTATTGGTTAACATTTCTGCCTTGTGTTGGGAAGTTCCTTGTTTCAAATCTCAGTCCGATGGCCGACTATCGTGACCGAGAATTTTCTCAGTTCATCCAACAAATTTTGGGTTAAAGCCTTGAAATCCCCTCAAATTTATCTTGCCATTTAATGTTGCATGCAACTGAAAGGCGTCGTTAAACAAAACAAGAATAGCTGTTATCTGGAATTGTGATTCAATCTAGATAGGTTAGTAAATTATATTGCTTAAGCGCAAAGATTGTCACAGTTTTCTTCATCGTTATGTGTCCCACAACTTAAACAATTTTGATTATTTTGTCCCAGTTTTAAATGTCGGCCCGGAGATCAACTGTCCTAGCTGAGGTTTATTCCTCAGTCTCTCCAAGCAACAGCCGGGATAATACCTTGATAACGCCGATAAGAAAACAATAAACAATACAGGCCTGTCAGTAAATATAAATATGACGTCAGCGAGTATCATTTAAGTAAATTTCCGAAGAAAAGAAAACCAACCTTTTACCAGATGAGTCTTTGCACTAGCTGATGTTTGTTCTGTTTGCTAGTGTCTTGATCGAGCTCTAGGGGTCCCTATCCCTGTAGTCGATAGCTTTCGGTTTTAACACTCAGAGGGTAAAATTGATCCTTTACATATATGATGGTAGAATTAACCGTCCTTTTGTTACTTTTCTATGACAGCCAATATATATTCTGTCTATTCTTACAATAATTTTTTCTCTACTGAACCAGACAGCTGACTTTCAATTAAACATTGTTGTCAAAATTCTTGAGTAGCGAATCCAAGTTACACGAAGACCGGATGTAAACTTCGCTTAACGCAGTGATGTGACAGAAATGGACTAACGTGGCTACGAAAAACTTTACTTCTATCGCAGTGAACTGTAATTTTTACAGATAACTTTGTCTACTGTGAATAAACTCATCACATTATAGCCCCATAACACGTAAAATAACTGAGAACTTTATCTCCGTTTCTTTATCTTCTAAAGCTTGAAGCGGTCCTCGGAAATAGGTTCTAGTGAAGGGATAGTTCGTGGTTTTTCTCAGCATTTTCAGGGAGTGTGACAATAATACATTAAAATCTGGCACTAGCACTTTGATCTCAGTTCTTTGTTTGTTTCCACTTCACCGTTTGTAAACATACTCGTATTATCATATCAAGCAGGATTTGAGATTCTCGCGGTAGCAAGAACGAAGATGTCTTTCTAGGTCGCAGAGTCGTGAAGTCTAGTAGAAGCTTGCCGACATTACAGAGGTACTTACTGTCTCCATCCTCAGGGCAATGAGGAATAACGGAGGCAACAAGTACCTCTGAAACTTCGGTAAGCTTATATCAGCCTTCATGGCGCTACAGCCCAGAAAACAGACATCTTCGTGCTCTCATTCGAAGATAAATAACATCTGGAGTTTACATATTATCGTTAAATAATCTATTTAGCTAATCTACCACTACTCTACTAATCTACTCGCTGATCACAATCTATTAATCTAACCCTTAGTGCAATGACAGAAACATGTTGTTCAAGTAAACAGAGAGTGAACGGAGTGTGTGAAAAGTGACGTGGAGTAAAACAAAGTAATCTACCACAATTTAGGCCTACATCAAAGTGAGAGAAATGCAGTTTCTATCTCTACCATTTCTTCCAGTGCACGAATGTAAACTTATTTGTTATTCTTTAATACGAACTTCGGACGAGAAAAGTTTGGGACATTTAATTTATGGTACGGTCTGTAGTTGGATAGATTGATTTATGTCACTCTCTCAAATATGCTTTCATACCCACTTGATCA